TTTGGAGATCCCCACTTCATAACATTTGATGGTGTCAGCTACACCTTCAATGGCAAAGGAGAATACACTTTGGTGACGCATAGATTGCTGAGAATCCAGGGCAGAACAGAGCCTGTGAACGGTGAGACACGGAGCTTTAAAGATTTAAATATCTTACTCAAGAAACAAAGAAAACACGCATTTCATGCCGAATATAAACTGAAACAACAGCTACTGTTCCCTGCATCCTTGATCTGCTTCTCTCATTGTCAGAAACCTCGATCAACGCAACAATGTTGACGTCTGTCGCCATGGAAAATATTCGCTTTAATATTATTGAGGTCCGGCTGGCCAGCGCTCACAATCACCTTGAAGTGCTGCAGAATCACAAAACTCTGTCCTTTGCTGAGCAGAGCTGGATGAACTTTGACGGTGAGAGATTGATTCTGAATTGTGGCCCTCATGCAATGCTGTTTTAAATGGAATATGATTGCATGGTTGTAACTTGAGTAAAGGATTTGAGTACTTCTTTTAACACTTCAGAAGTGTGAGATAACCAACTTTTACAACTGTTCCACCTTTTGCAAAACTAGTTTTCCAACATCCTATTGCTCATTGCACAAAATTCTATTTAGAAATTGTCTTTTTCCAACTGCTGTAACTGCCCCTCTTCTACCCAAATGTCTTGCAGATTCATTTGTGTTTTGTCCTACCCCTACAAATGTGACCGTGATGTTCCCCTCTGGAGCCGGGGTGGAGGTGCGACTGAGAGAGGGAACCATGACGACCACTGTGCTCCTGCCAGAGGAGTTTAAAGGCTCCATTCGTGGTCTGTTGGGAAACATGAACGATGACCCCAAAGATGACCTTGTTCACAGCAACGGTCAGCCCGTCCAGAACTACAGCAATCCAGAGGAGGTGTTCAGAATTGGGGCGAACTGTAAGAAATCACTGAAGCTGTTGATTATGTTCTGTTGGTTGTATCTATATTATTGAGAGTTAATATTTACTGCTTTGACTGTGTGAAATGTTAGAAAAGCTCATGTTTAAACTTAAGGAAGTAAAACAACTTCAGTTCGGGGTGACAGTGAGCATGTTACCATCGTAGAGTCAGGCCTTTAAGAGAAAACACCGTCATTAATGTTACTTGAAGTAACATGGTCACTAATGTTAGTAACTGCATCAACTTAGTCCTGTGTGTAAACTCGAATTTCGGAGTTGATGCAGTCTGCAAATGACCTTTTATTTAAAATCAGAAATTAGAATATGAGTAACATCAGGCACAACTATTTACAGGAATGTAAATGTTCTACCTTTGGAGGATTTTTTAATCACAATCTAATTTAACATTATCAAGACTGATCAGAACTAAATTTCAAAACCATTCATCAAACTTTCATCAATATTTACAGGATCTGTACAAACTCAAAACACATCAATAATGAGAAAACAAAACAAAACAAAAAACACTATTCCGGGCTCCAGACTAACTCTTTCACTGGTAGCCCCAGTACTACCCACTTTCTTATTGTGTTGCACCTCCCACCTGGTCAAAGGCAAAACACAGGACTTGTTGAACATTTTATTGATAGACTCTATGATTTACTGATGCTCCCTGAACGCCCCACACAGCAGACTGCGGTAGCTGCTGTTTGGTGTTTGGTGTGCTCATACAAGTGTGTGTGTAGGGCGTTCTCATGCCACATTTGTCCGCGTTCAAACCCAGTTACATGTATTCTACATGCGGTCTTTTCTACGAGGAGTCTTTTCTCCATTGACACCATGACCAATGCATGAAGCTGTCATGACAGTAGCTCTGATCTAGTAGCAGAGGAGGGGAAAGGCCGTGACAGTGTCAGAAAGCGCAGTCGTAAGAACGTCGAAGGACAGTTTT